GAGGCGGGGGCGGGCGGGCCTTCCCGTCTCGGATCTGGGACACCGTGGCCCCTGTCGGCCCCGGGCCTCAGGTGTCGCTCCCGGGACAATGCCTTCCAGCTGTTGCCCTCACAGCCGCATCCTCCCAGCCCGCTCTCCCTGCCCCTTCGCTTCCAACTCTCCTGCCCACTCCCCTTCTCTCCTCTCGCCTCCCTTCTTCGGCCGCGCATCTGCGTTCTGGGTGGCGCTGGAGAGGCGCGCGCAGGGCGGCGGGTGGCGGGGACCCTGGTTGCCGAAGGGCCCGGGCACAGGGAGCGTGTGTTTTAGAGGAATCAGCGTGGTCCCTGGGCTTCCTGTCTTTTCTCCATCCCAAGCCCACACCGCGCGCACACATAGCGTAACAGACGCGGAGGTCATCCTGCCATCTGGCGCACCCCGAATTTGGCGACTGAGTTCGGGAAGCGACGGCGTGTCCGTGTCGTGTCATCGCGGGTGTAGGTGGCCGGGGCTGCCCGGCTCCCCAGGCTGGGGCGAGGGGCACCTGCCCCCACCCTGCGATCCCCATCCCTGCCCCAACCTTCTAGACTTTCTGCGGGTTTCCCTCCCACTCTGGGCCTGGGCTCGGAGGCAGGGAAAGAGGGCGCCCAAATTGTGGGGCTCCCTTCTCAGGGGCCACTGATACCGCCTGCAGGAGCTCAAACCCCAATTGGGCTCCATTATGTAACAACCGAATGTAACGGGTAGCCCGGCGGCCTGTGGGCGCGATTTCCATCATTGGGTGATAAGGATCACATATTAGATTTCTTCAAAGCCATGGGGGTTTGCTTTCTTTTTTTCAGAGGAGGTATGTGTGCTAGATTGCCCAGGGCTGGTGTGACAACTGTCAAAAGTTGGACATCAAAGGAGCGAATATTATTCAGTGACCTGAGCAGCTGTCTGTTTAAATCAGAAGTTCTTAATTACCGCAGGACAAAGCTAGGAAAGAGGTTGGGGCTCAGAAGGGAGTGGCACTCTCGCCGGGTCTGAACTTTATATGTAAACACGTGGTCAGTTGGCGACATCATCTCAGGTTCTTTTTTCTCTTAAATATATTTTTATTGATTTTAGAGAGGAAGGGAGAGGGAGAGATAGGAACATCAATGATGAGAGAGAATCATTGATCCGCTGCCTCCTGCACGACCTTGAACCCGCAACCCGGGCACATGCCCACACCCACCTCCACCCCCACCCCCACCGGAATGAACTCAGGATCCTTCAGTCCACAGGCCAACGTTCTATCCACTGAGCCAAACTGGCCAGGGCTTGGGTTCTTAGAGATTTCCATCATCCCAGTTCTGGACTAGGCCCCGGGGAGCCCGCTCTGTCACTGAAGGGACTAAGGTTTCCTGGACAGAAATGTGGTGATTGTGGATGGTTTGTGACCCATAAAACGTGGAGGTGGCTGTTCTGGCTTCGATATGTAATTATCGAAGCTCTTTCCATCAGAAAGGGAGGGTCTGTGTCCAGGAGAGAGAAAAGTAACATTTTTTGTTTGTTTGTTTGTTTGTTTTTATTGTTTTATTGCTTAAAGTATTACAAAAAGTATTACATATGTCTTACCCCCCAGTGTCTTATGTCCATTGGTTTTGCTTATATGCATGCATACAAGTCCTTCGGTTGATCTCTTACTCCCCTCCCTTCTGCCCCCCAACCCTCTCTGGCCTTCCCACTGCAGTTTGACAATCAGTTTGAGGCAGCTCTGCCTCTGTATCTATTATTGTTCAAAAGTTTGTAATGGTCTTTATTATCCATGAATGAGTGAGATCATGTGGTATTTTTCCTTCATTGACTGGCTTATTTCACTTAGCATAATGCTCTCCAGCTCCATCCATGCCGTTGCAAATTGTAAGAGTTCCTTCTTTTTTACAGCAGCATAGTATTCCATCGTGTAGATGTACCACAGTTTTCTAATCCATTCATCTACTGATGGGCACTTAGGCTGTTTCCAGATCTTAGCTATGGTGAATTGTGCTGCTATGAACATATGGGTGCATATATCCTTTCTGATTGGTGTTTTTGGTTTCTTGGGATATATTCCTAGAAGTGGGATCACAGGGTCAAATGGGAGTTCCATGTTTTGTTTTTTGAGGAAACTCCATACTGTCTTCCATAGTGGCTGCACCAGTCTGCATTCCCACCAGCAGTGCACAAGTGTTCCTTTTTCTCCACATCCTCTCCAGCACTTGTCGTTTGTTGATTTGTTGATGATAGCCATTCTGACAGGTGTGAGATGGTACCTCATTGTTGTTTTGATTTGCATCTCTCGGATGATTAGTGACTTTGAGCATGTTTTCATATGTCTCTTGGCTTTCTGAATGTCCTCTTTTGAAAGGTGTCTATTTCGATCCTTTGCCCATTTTTTGATTGGATTGTTTATCTTAAATAACATTTGTTTTAACACAGGTTTGATGGGGGGAGATGGATACATACAAACAGTGGCCAGGCCGCCCAAACTATTTTTTTCGAGGCAAATTAAAATAATGATGAGGAGATTTAGTAAATTCATCATAGCAACACGGCCCCACCAAGGCACAGAAGGGAGAGGAGGGGAGAAGGGAGGGGAGAAGAGGGGAGGGGTGGGTTCAGGCTTCCG